CAAGGCTGGCTCTCAAGGACCTCGATTTTCTCGCCTCTCCCAGCAAAAGCCGACATGCCGTAGAGGCTGAGAAGGACATGCTTTTTTTGTTTAGCAGATCCCAGCTTGTTCTCTTGCGACGAAATTGGGAGGCTTCGGTGGCCGATTTCGTCTTGTTCATTGATTCATCCCCGGTTACGAGCTCTGTTGCCCGTGCCCCTTGCCAGTCACACCCGCTTGTTGCCACTTGCCATCAGTTGAGGGTCCGAAGATAAATTCATGACTTTTGTCCCAAGTGATGCTCCCTCGAAGTTGCCTAGTTCACTAGAAACAGACGCTTGCCAGCCATCAGGCTTGCACAGGACGACGCAAAACGCCATCACTCGATTCGGGTGCAAAGAACAACCGAAAGGACAGCAATCGTTTAGGGTCCCCTTTGGAGACACGCCCATTCCCCAGGACGATGGTTTGCCAATGAGATGGGGAGCATCCATCAAACCTTCACAGAGGATGAGGAGTGCCTGGCTCAGCTCAGGCTAGCGTTGGGCCAAGCCCTGTGTTCTAAAAACCTATTTGCACATCCAGTTGGTTCGCCTAAGTTCGCCAGATGGGTATGGTTGCAACAAGTTTTACCCCAGTCTCCTTACAATGTTTTGTTGAAGAGGGATCTGCTCAACTTGGCTGGTTTCCATTTGGTTTGCCAGAAAAGCCCTAATTTGAAGAACACATCCGCGTGGCAAGACAAACTGACGCTGAAGGCTCATTCCTTTGGTATTCCTTAGGGAGTGAATGGCATGTATCTGGGATCCCAACTTGCTGGGATACCATTCTTCGAGATCCTTCTCGGGTGGTTTCACAGGAAAACCAAAAGGACCTCCGCATTTGGGAGGTCCTGTGAAATACCCTATTTTGACACATACCCATTGGGCCCATAATCCCTTGATGGTGCACCTATGATGCACCCAGCAACAAGCCATGAGCTCACGGGATGGTCCGGAGCCATGAATCACAGACGAGTGCCCGTCACTTTCCTCGGGCGGGTGGGTTGAACAGAATTCACGCAAATGCCACGCTGGATTCGACCTTGTAGAACACAGCCGATTCCCAGCCCAACTTGGCTTAGGAATCCACCCCGAGCCGCTGGTGTCGAAAACAACACGCGAGGTGCTTGATGATCGCCTTGTGGCCTGGGCGCACCTCGACTGGGATGGAATGGGATGTTTGCTTGATCCACGTTGAAATGGTTCCGCATGGTTCCTTGTTATTCCTTGGATCCCCATTGAATTATTGGACGTGGTGGGAGTATGTGTATCACATAGTGTCACCCGCAGAAAGAAGCAGTATCGCCCTTGAATTTCAGGGTTTGGTTGAAACGCCAGGTTCATGACGGTTTCTCGAGTTACCTGCATGCCCTTCAAAAGGGAAGAGCTATCGCAGCGCTCTCTGTGCTACTGACACTAGTGAAACAGGTGTGAGGGGACAAAGCGGCATACTGGGTCCAGCGAACGGCCTCATCGGGTTCAAGCGACAGATGCTTCGTTCAAATAAAGCAACTGGACGCACATTCGGCGAGGTAGCCACTGAGTTGATTTCGATCCGGATCCGACATCCATGGCCATCATGGCCAAACCTTCGACAATATGTTTGGCGTGGTTTAGCAGGGAAAGAAATGCGACCTTGTCATTTCCGTGGGTTTGGGATCTGTTTGTGCTTGAAGGTATTCGCCTTTCCCGGCCACCATCGCGGAAGGGGAGCCCCAGATTAAATCCTGGTTGATTTTGATCGGGGGATGTCACCGTTTAGTAGGGATTCATTTGGAGGGAACACCCCACTATGCTTAGGACGGGTTTATGGATCCAGGGTCAACATTGTCCCCGCTCGGTGTGACGCTTTCCACCCTGCTTGAGAGAAACGACTTCGTGCGCTGAGGCTATGTCGTTTTCTCAGACGAGCAGCTGCCAGAAAACGTGTTCACCCCCGCAGGGAGCCTCATTGCGTGTCGTTTCGTTTTTTTCTTGGCGTTTGTTTTTAAGGATGCCTTGGCTGGAAGAGAGACAAAGAAGACAACCACCGTTTTTGGGGTCCGAATCCCTATTTTTACGATACCCTCCTCTTCCCAAACGAGAGGAAACCCAGGCTTTTTGAGGGCATCGTTGCATCTTACCTGCAGGACTCGGTAGTTTGACCCGCGACACTTGGCAGGGGACACATGCGCACGTTGTTTTTGGACGTTTGGTTTGAATGAGTGACCTTTCTTGGCCTTTTCGGAAGGAAGAAAGAGGCGACGTGGGACTGAAAACCCAAAGCGAGCTCGCCTTGCGTGGGTTTTGTGCGAAACGATCAGTTGACCATCTTACGATGCGTACATCTCCTGATGTCTTCATGCACACGGCAGTGTCAATGTTGCTTGCCCGCACAGAGAAGGAATCCATCATCTCCATGAATTATCTATAATAGATTAATATATTTGTACATATTATAGGTACGCATGACATATATATACATATATACACGATAAGTGAAGAGGCGGCATCAACAAGCTTAAGCAACAAGACATGGTTTGTTGACCTGCTCATTGGGACCGAAATGGTTTTGCGCTTCACACACCACCTGCCTTGCGGCTTCAGTCTCCTGTTTCACTACACAACTTAACTTTCCTTTGCAGCGAACCAATCTCATGCTGGACTCTTGCAAAGGGTTGCCCTCATCAATGCCATGAGGAGGTCCACCAGCAGCTTTTTTGCTTCCCGAGCGCGGTGCCGCTGGGTCTCAAAACCAAGGCGAAAGGAAAGCGACTATGTAAAGAGTCTCGCATGTCTCTGCTCAATCCATCCTCAACTCCCAGCATTTGGATTTGGGACAAACCGAACCAACTTGTGAGCGCGGAATGCAGCTTCGCAAATGTCGAGACTTCTACTTGCAGGGAATATCCTGTAATGCCCCCATTGCTTCCAAGGTTCCACTGCCTTTACCCCAGAGTCAGGTGGGGGGTTCAGGCTTCGAGGGCTGCGTGTCTTTTTGATTGTTGCGCTTTTTTGGATGTTTCAAATATATAAAGAGAGGCACCATTTGTGTGTGTGTGTGTGTTTAGTTGTTTGTTGAACCAAGATAATCCACACATTTTTGAGGTTCCAATTTTGAGAATCACCCATTTGTTGTGTTTCTTGTTCTTGTTCTTGGCCTTGGTCTTGGTGCTGGTGCTGTGTTGGTGTTGTTGGTGTTGTTGCTGTTGTTGTTTCTGAGGGGAAGCCTAGGGAACAAACACCGCCCCGGGCATCCAAGTACCCACTCTGACGACCCGCTAGGTGAACCACTCCATTGAGTCAGAGCAGCGCTCGGAGTTCATGTGAGGCGAAGGGGGGTGTGGAAGTTTTGCGGGTGTGCAACCTCCTAAATCCAACACGAGTGCGTGGAACCGTTTGGTGGCTTCCTTTTGGTTTCATTTTTAGGAAAGGCACAGGTCAGCATTTTATGTGGCCACTCGGGCTAGCCTGCGACACTTTCGGCTTGCCCTAGTAAGTTCAAAAAAGCCTGGGGGCACGGCAGACCCCTGAACGGATTTGGGGTGTCGTCCCGTCCCTGGGATTCATTGAAGTGCTTCGGCATTCGCATTTGGGTATCACAACGAGGAATCGACCACGCTAAGCGTTCCACTGCACCATGTTCTGTCAGCCTCAGTGCAGCGGAAAAGCAAGCTTCGCCTGGACAGGGCTTCCGTTCCCTTTCTGGAAAGTGGAGATCGTTTCAATGGAAAGTAAGAAAGATTAAGAAAGCAAGAGATCAGCTTCAAGGGAAATCCAGTGACCCGAGGCGAGCACTCTAGGAGCCCAACCTGGCTGCAGCCCTTTTGACAGGGTTCTTTTGCCAGGGTTCCCTATGCTTTCGCTTTTGATGGCTTGAAACATCACCTTTTGGGGCCAAGTTCAAGTGAGTTTCCTTTCGGGTGGGGTGTTGTGTAAAGTGAAAATATAGGGAAGCCTGCAAGACATTCCTTGCAGGGGTAGATTCATCTCCCAAAATGTGGCAGCTTCTTGGGCCGCATGTAAATAGCTCCACACTACTTTGTCACTTCATGAAGCAAAGCCTGGTCAGGTTACTTGGACATTGGGTTGAAACATGGCGGGTGGCATGCTTTGGATTTGAGCAGCGCCCAAATCCGATTGGTCAAGTTTTGTCCAAGATGCTGAAGGAACCTTCTCAGCGGTTCTGATCGAAACATTCTAATTGAAGCTGTTTGGGAGAGGTAGGAAACGAGCTTGTTTCATTCGTGAAAGGCTTTGATAGCTGTTTTGTGTTTTGTTCAAGATGACAAAGAAAGCTTATCTTGTTTGACTAACTCCGGGACCCCCCCCCAACCGCCTGAGTCGTCCCGATTTGCAGTTTAGCACTATCATCAACCCGGACCTTTGCTCATGGCGCTAAAGATACGAGGGTATCCTGAAAGAGGGTCAAGATTCCAGGAAGCATGGGAGCGAGCCACGCGCAGTCCGGGCTTCGACGCTTCGCCAGGCGAAGCAGCCAAGTGGCACAGGCCAAGCCGAGCCGCGCAAAGACGCGAGCCGGGCCCACCCGAGATGGTGGCAATGCTGGGGATGGACAAACAACGGGAGGGTGGGGCGACGTGGGGCGTGCACGAGTGAAGGTCAGTGTGAGTAGGTTTATTGCTGGCAGAATGAGTGTGTGCAGTGGTTTCTTCGCTGCGTTTGCTAAATGATGGTCTATGTTCCTCTCATCATTTGTAATCATCGCGCAGTATAGGCCAAAAGAACCTAGCGTGATTCCTCAGCTGGTTTGAATGGGTTGGATCGCTTGAGCCACAATCAAAAGCCGGGCAAGAAAGGGACCGTCCCAGCCATGAGTAGGTGCAGTCGCCCTCTTGATTCTTTACATGGTTTGGGTAGACCACTTGAGTGCCAGGTTTTGATTGTGACTCGCATGTTTCTGAACATGGTCAAGCCACTTTCCTTTTGGCCACCCTTTGCGTATCATTTGGCCCCGGTGCAGCGGATGTACGGCACAAGGACCGGAGAGTGCTACATCCAGCCGGAGCTCGCCAAGGTGAGCGCCATCACCCAGAGCGCGTGAGGCGCGGTGGGTGCGGTGGGTGCCGTGGGCTTTGAGGGTGGGCTGCCTTGAACCGTGGTGACTGTTCCTTGGTTTGCCCAAGGGGAAACCACCATGGTTGGAAGAGCTTCCTTTGCTCGTAGGGAGTTGTTTGAAGAAATTTGGCCCCACCAATACCCCTTCCCATTCTTGCGGCCATTGAGTCCGGGACAGTGGAACTGCTTCCTCATGGGTTTGCCCAGGTTCTGGGGTAGGGATGGTTGGGCTAACACAATTTGGCTCTTGGGTTGAACAAGAAAGCCCAGGGAGTGGTTGGGTTTTCTTGACTGCGATTTGGGTCCTTTTGGGAATTAGTGTTGTTGTTTTTTTCTTTCCAACTACAGAACCAAGAGTTAAACTCTGTGCGCAGGGGGTAATAGCCGCCCAGTGTTGGTGCCGCAGCAAGCCTTCTGACCAGGTGTTGCCTTGTATGGTTTCGGAATTGGGGGGCTGTGTTTGCTCTTGTGTTGATGTCTACTGGAATCACCATGGTTGCTTGCCTCTTGGATGTGCATGATGTGTGCATAGCGCTAGTTGCCTTTTTTGATATGCAAGCATTAGCTTCTTGCTTCTCAGACTTCCCAAACTAGAGGACTCCGAGTGTCAAGCGTGTTGCTCGCATGGGCTGTGTCGCCGGATAGTAGAACTCCCCCAATCGATTCAAGCCAAGCTAGGAAAGGTTTGCCAGGAAGTGGCAATTCTAAGGAACATACCTTGTTTCCGGTTTTGGAATTAATGAGAATTTCGGTCACTCATAGGTTGCAAGGAAACCACATGACATGGGATGACTCTTGCCAGCCCACGCCTCGCAGTGCAGATGGGAGCCATGTGAGCGTGCAGAGGTAGGCCTCCAAATTGGGTGGCTGAGCCATTGACACACCCCAGGATTGTGGAAAATTGGGTCTTAAGCGCGCACTTTCTGTGATGCGCTTGGGACTATACTCTTTCCGTGACAAAGCAGTCAGGGAGGTGGCCCACGCTGGCACTACAGAAAAAGTTGATTTTCCACAGCCATGGACCCGCCCTGCGGGGTTTTGTCCATCCGCATAATAAACGTTCTCCGTGCCAAAAGTGGCGGATCGAACTTGGTTTAGCGGAGAACCTATGCATTCCGGCTGCGACCATTGCGTTTGTCTCCAAGTGTCGCCTGTACAGTGCGCCGCTTGGCCAAGGTTGAGCTCGCGTTTTTCAAGGTGAGACTTTGCCGTGCTTGTTTCAAGATCCTCAAAGATCAGTTGCAGCCAGCCAGTGTTGCCCGACCTTGGCAGCATGCAAATAGATGCTAATTCAAAGAGTCTCAGGGCCGGGCAAGGTTTGCCAGTGAAAGAAATCCTTGTGCTAGCCCTTCAGTGGCGCAAGGACGCCACGCGTTTTGCTGCGCGTTGAAAGGTTGTCAGAGCTGATTCGAGTGTGTTCTTTGTGAGGTTAGCCTTTTCAGCTTGGTTTGAAGGGAAACCAACAGGACAGCCACAATTTTGGGTGATTGGCTTTCATCTTGATGCCGTGCGTTGGTATGAAGAGTGAGCATGAAATGGTGGCACAGGCTTGCGGCGCTGATTGGTAGTGAGTCGTGACAAGTCTCGTGAGGTCAAGGGGTGGTACATTGTGCCAACGCTGACGTTGATTTGCGGCATTGGCCAAAATTTGGGTGTGTCCTTCGTGAGCCCACCAAACGAATGGAAACCATTTTGGGTTTGCCCCAATGGGAGAAATGCCCATTCCTGGGCTAGGCCTGGCGTGTGCTACCACATCTTCTCAGCTCGCAGGCCCTTGGGCGCTGGAGCTGTGAAGCGTCCCACCGGGGCAAGAAATCGATGGACGGGACCCAGCCTTCTCAGCACATGTACGGTGAAATCAGACTGAAGAGGATGAAACATGTTGTAAGTCTCTAATATGATATGTTATATATATACACATATGTAATGGCCATTCCCCGTTGGCCACTCTTAGAATAATTCAATCAAGAACCCTTTGCAAAAAGGCACACATTTCTGTAAGAAGGCCCTCGTCAGATTCTATGTTAGGAGGATATTGCTGCAATTGAGGAGACGGGGGTGCGGATGCTGGTGCCATCGGTGTCGTCCATCTCGTATGACCAGCCATGGACACTTAATCCGGGTCCCCAGTTGTCCCTTTTGGGTTGGTTTAAACAACCTTTGGGCCAGCTCAAAGTGAGTTTTGTTTTGGCGGGGTGATGCTTGCGGAGTAGGGGGCCCTGCTAAATCACAGTTACGTGGCGTTGAAGGTGATAAGGTGGCGCAGCCAATCTCAGAGCTGGATGTGTAGCTGAAGAGATGTGTGGCATTTGGACGAGAAAGGCTGCCGAAATTGAGGCACTTGAGTGTCACGGACATGTTTTTATGAAGCCTGGTAGCAAACCTGAACTTGAAGGGAACAGTGCGGCAATAAGTTTTGGGTGCCAATATGTGAACAAAGAATTAGCTTGGTGAACTCAGCTTTTCACTGAACGACAACTGAGCATGAAGCCCAATTAAATTTGGGACCCTTGATATCATTTACACGGGGATTTGTGCCCGCAAACCATTTTGGAGGGTGTTCCAACTTCCAACTGTCAAGCTTCCTGGCCACTTCCACCAACATGTTCCGTGGAATCGCAGAATCACCATGTGGGTATGGATCAAAATAGGGGGACCCCTGAAAAGGGTAGCCTCAAAGAGTACAGCACACCCAAATCGGTCGGCCCTTCGGGCCTTGCGCAGGCAGGCCATGTTGGATGAGCACCGGCCCCCCGAGATGCTGCGTGCGGGGCCCGGCTGGGGTGGGGGGGGGGTTGGGGTCAGTAGAAATGAGTACAGTGAGTTCAGAGATTCGTCATCAATAATAGATGCCTCAATAGAGCTGAAACCTAGCGTTGGAGTCAGCAGCATGATGTTTAAGAGTTGGAACACCCTCTAAAAAGGTTGGCGGACGTATATAAACCTCCATGTAGCTTAATGATGTGCAGCTCAAGGGTATGCTTTGGGGTTGCAACGGAAAACTCAAGGAAGGGGCCCCGAGGCTTTCGGGCACCTCGTGGGCAACATGCGCGTTCTTGGCCATGATTGTCTTTCTGTGTGGGAATCTCAAAACGACCTTCGGCCACTTTCGGGGCTTAGAGAATCTAGCCGCTGTTCCATTTTGGAGAGGATTCTGCACGTTTAGGGGGAAACACCCCTCTGTAAATCCACCAGATCAATTCCTGCGTGAAGGTTCCCCTTCTGAAGGCTGAGCAATGGGCTCCGCTCTCAGGCTCTCCGCTGGAGGATGTTTGCCCGGAGCCCAGTGCGCGCGCCACATTCGGCTGAAGGTCGACAGAGGTTTGGAAAGGGTGCGACCGAAGGGGTTTCAGCATCCTGAGCAATTCTTATAGCTTTGCAGTTGCGGTGAATATACTAAGTGGTCATTCCTTACATGAAGTCCTTGGACTCAGTTATCCTACTGAAAGGGGCGTTCAAGTCATGTGCGCAGCTTTCATTGAGTATTGACTTATCCACCACAGTGTCTTGAGGTTTCCCCTGCAAATCAAGCTGCGTGGTTAACACACATAGAACGTATCTCGCGCCCTAACAGCCGGTTGCCCAATGGCATCCCGTGCTATTTGGTACAGCCCCTGTCAGTTATGCTGGGCCCGTGGAAGGGAGCAACAAAATAAGAGTGGTTATAGTGACATAACGAGGCCAGCTTGGGAACTGTGCACAATTCCCCTTCATTCCATTTTCCGAAGCCTGACCCCTTTGAGTCCTAGGAAACTCAGATGCGTTTTTGGAAGACCATAGTGCGACAAAGAGGTTGGACTTGTTTGGCCAATCCACTCATGGTTTACTTGGCCCAACCTTCACCCTTCGGATGGCCACAGTCCCTCCCCGCCCCTGGCCATGTCGACCATGGCCTCAACCATGTGCGCACCCAAACCTGGTAGGTATCGGTTTCCCATGAAACAAGGCTGTCCAACCGGGGGTACCAAGTTAGGAAACGGAGGTACCGCTTTCGAAACCTGATCCCACCTAAACCGTTTACGAAGGGTTGAGTCTTCAAACAACGGACCCTTTGTCACAGATTTGCCCTTCGTAGCTAATAGGACGCGCGAATTCATGACTCCTGTGTTGCTCCTATGATCATGACTCGATTTGGCTTTGAAATCTTTGACGTACCCTGCAACCAGCATCCAATGATTTGAGCCCTTCTCAGGTTGGTTTGAAGGGAAATTTTACGGGAAACCGTCTCCATGTTTTGGGGAGAGACACCCTGCATGAAGGGAGGGTGTGGCTCGGCTTTTCGGAGGCCTGCATGCCAAGTTGGTGCTCACACGCTACGAGCAGAAGGAGAGGCAACCATGCAACCCATTTATATACGCGGGGGGCTACGGGGAGGGGGAGGGGGGCGGACCTCACTAAACCCTTATGGCCTTATTGGGGCATGTAGTTATGTACATCTGCGTATATATTATTATTATTATTATTATTATTATTATTATTATTATTATTATTATTATTATTATTATTCTTATTATTATTATTACTATTATTATTATTATTATTATTATTATTATTATTATTATTATTATTATTATTATTATTATTATTATTATTATTATATATAGGCTCATCTAGTGTTAGCCCCCTTTTGCCCCCTGGAGGTTCACGAAGCTCGCTTTCCCGAGCCAGCCGAATCATGTTCCAAGTCATTTCAAACACCTGGCCCGGTTGTTAGACGCCACTGGTGCTTGGAACGAGTTGCTCAGCTGGTTCTTTCAAGCAACTCAGGGATAAAGTCGAACTCTGTTCCTCGATTGCCCAGGCTTGGTTCAAGGATACGCGATGAGCTTCCCGTTTACCAGCTGCTTACAAAGGTTGCTTAATGTCTGCGCTCAGAAAGTCACGTTCTGAGCCTGAAAATAGGAACTTTCCCTGTGGTTTGCATTTGGTTTCCGGCCACCAAACAAGAGGGTGTCCTCAAAACAGATGAAACTCAAAAGGGCTGCCTTCGGTGCTCGTCCATCTCCAAGCAGGTGGATAAATTTTGATGGCCCGGTCGACAAAGAGAGGTCAAAAGTTTCACCGGGCCAACTTGAGAGCATCCTCGATGTTCGATTCGCACCCGAAAAGAATGCAAATGGCTCATGTGCCCAAAGAGACCGGAGGTAGTTCTTCCTTACAAGACAAATCCGAGGCAGAGAGGCGCAGGCGAGATCCGATCGGTCAACCGAAAGAAAAAGCTGACACGCCGCAAGCCTCAACCCTTATGAACACTTCTGCACAAAATGGTGTGTATGGCAAAAATCCAAGCTTTCCACTCTCCATCCTCCAACGATTGTCTTCTTTTGCCGCTTTGCTCACTCATCGAAATGCTCAGGACTCGCTGGTGGACTTCCTGCGCCGTGCGCCGGACCCGCCAGAGGAGCGCACCGCCCCGCGCTCAGCGCGCAGACGGGGCGAGACCGGGCGTTCGATGGCGCAGACGGGGCGCAAAGTTTGGTTCTACCGCCTCTCCCAGATTCCCCTGTGACAGTACAATTCCGAAGCAATCTTGAGTCAGGTTGGACTGTGCGTGAATTCAGTGTCACACTGCGGCCGTTGGTTGGTCAGAATCTGATGGACGAAGCCTAAATGCTGCTACAGCAGCAGCGTCAAGCTGAGCACGAACTGGTGCAGGTTGCAGAAGCCAGGTGGCTTTCTATGTCCCCTGATTGGTCTGTGAGGGCCTCCAGTGGTCACGTTGCAGGATACGCCCTTCAAATCTGTGAGTGTTGTAACTGGGCACCAGTTTCAGAAGCTCACTGTGCTCCTTTGTGAGCTTCAGACGTTCCTAAAAACGGAGAAATTCACTTACATGCCACGAAACCAAGTTTCTGGGCAAATCAGAACGATGCTCACCCATGAAGGTTCTTTCCTGCATTTTTGCAGTTTGGGCACGGCAATTCGCCCAGAAGCTTGAGACCCGGTGCCTTCTCAG